TCCGTGCCCCGGCGCCCGCGCACACGCCGCGCACACGCGGGGGCCCGGAGCAGAGCTCCCGAAGGAGGAAGCGCGAGCGGCCGCCAGGGGGAGCCGCTGAGTCTTAAAGGCGCCGCCGCTAGTGGCGGGGTGCTGGATGGTGGCCAGTGCAGAGTGCGGGGTGAGGGAGTCGTGGTGTGGGCGCCTTGTGTGTGTCTTGGAGGTTGGCCAAACCACTGGGCGTCGTTGTTCCTTGGCAGCCCGACGGGATTGCCCCGGAGGCAATTCGTTGCAATTGTCCCGTAGTATCTCCACAGCTGACTCAGGCTCGCACTCTGGGGTGCCCTATAACCGAGGGAGAGAAGGGACTGTGACTCGAAGCAGCAAGAGTGCACGGAGCATCTTCAGGAGAGCCTTTTCTTCGCCAGGCGAAGGGGCATAGGTTGGCGACTGCTTCAGTGCCTGGATTCTCTGAGTCACCTGCCCTGCCCCGGCCCATGGGGTAGTACTTAGTATTCCAGCCATCAGAATGCTTCTGGCATAGGAAGGAGAAATTGGAGGCTCTTCCCAGACACAGGCAGGAAAAATGGGTTCCCGGGGTGGGGGGGGGGGACATTTAAGCTGACTTTGGAAATAAAGACAGTTTTTGAAGGTCTGAGATGAGAAAATGCTTGGATTGAAGAGGAAGAATCGAAAGTTGTTAGTAAAGGGGCAGAAATGGGCCTTGGCCGGACTGGAGTCGGACTGAGTCGTGCGCGTAGATCCTGACCTTGGGCGGCATCCTTGGCCCCACTGGGTTCAGTTTTAACAAGATTCCTGCTGAGTCAGAGAAGTTCACCATCCCTGGTATCAGATCACCATGGCCTGCCTGCAGTAAGAATCCTGTCAATGGGGCTGAGGAGATGATGGATGGGCTGGTAAAGGCACTTGTGGCTAAACCTGGCAACCAGGGTTCGATTCTTCAGGACTCACAGGGTGGAAGGAAAGAACCAACTCCCGTGTTTTCCTCTGACCTGCAGTCCTGCTGTGGCACATGCACACATACAAATACTGAATGTAAATACTAATAGTAATCCCATCAAGTAATTGAGCCAGAATCCCGGGAGCCCTGAAGGTTTTGCTCAGACATTGTCCACCCACAGATGTCCCACTCTCCTCCCTGGCTGTGACTGCACCATCTTCCCTTGTAGCCAGCGTGGAGCTCAGGTGCCCCCCCCGCTGTGCAGCCTGACTGCCTCTTTTAATAAAATCTAGTGGGTCTAATTTCTCTTTAATAGGAGAAAGGGACGAGAGGGGGTTAGAAGCAGGGTGGTCCTGGAGAGCAGAGACTTAATATCCTGGACCAAGGATAGAAATCCCCACCCCCTGGTGCAGGCTGAGTTTCGTAGGAGCATGTAGTCTGAGTGGTTCAGGGTACTTTCTGGAGTTCCTTCCTTCAGCAGAAGCAGGGAATCCAGGGTGTGGCGGGGCAGTGCTGGCCTTGGAGTCCAGAGATGAGTAAGGCACACAAGCCATTGACTCCCGGAGCGTGTGATGAGGGCCATGTGAGAGATGCGAGGGACAGGGCAGTCTGTCCTGCTTTGCCGAGTGACTGCAGACTGTGACACTGAGAGATGACGAGGAGTTTGGGGTTAGGGACCGGTTCCTAGAGAAAGAGCACAGCGAGTGCCATGGTCCAGGGGGTGAAAGGGCAAGAACCATGGACGTAGTAGGGAAAACACAATGAGCCTGGAGATGGGAAGAGTAACCAGGGGGATTGGGGAAGACGCCAGGGACTGGACCCTGTGATCGCCTCCTAACGTGAGCAAGATGATGTTCCTCTGTTGCTTTCATCTGTGAAGTGGGCAGAAAATGCCCCATCTGGAGTTTCTGGAGGACCGAAGATGCCAACAGGGACCTGGCCTTCAGGGCAAGTGTATGCAAGGTCCTGGATGTCCCCTGGCTCACAGGAAGCCCTTTAAGACCCAGCCTCAGGGCTTGCTTTAGTCCCCTGATCAAAACCTGCTCCAACCCTTCTTACCTTCTGGCCTTCTGAGCTGTAACTAAGAAAGGCTTGTCCCCACGAAGAGTTCCAAAGTGACCAGGGAAGCCCACCCACTCGCTAAGTGACTTGGCAGGTCCCTAGCCTTCGGATCCTCTGTTCTGAGGATTAAGCCCTGAAGAAAAGCACTTTGGGGTAACAAAAGACTGGTTGGTGGCTGTGCCGTCTAAACAGTGCCAGGCTCTGACAGTGAAGTGGGGAAGGGGTCTGAGTGGTGGCATATGTCTCGGGCAATGGCTTCAGGAAAACCTAACATAGGAGTTCTAGCACCGTGCATGTAGGAAAGAGGCTGCTTAGCTGGAAGCACCATGCTAAAGAATTGAGGCAGACACCTTAGGGAGGTGATATTTGCACAAAAGTTCAACAAGGGTGAGCGAGCAAGTCAGGCAGATACCTGACCGGGGTGAGGCTGAGGAACAGCGAGTACCTTGAGGCAGAGCACGGGTCTGATGTCAGCTAGGGGTAGTGAAGAGGCCAGCTGGCGGGAATAGCAGGAGTTGAGAAGGGAAGCAAGGACAGGGGAAAGAGAAAAGCAGGAGGCGGTGGCGATCTCAGTGACCCAGGCCAGTGATGACTGTGGCTGGGCAAGGAAGGGATGTATGGTCAGGCGCAGGGACGAGCTGGGAGGCAAAGGCAGCGGCACCTGCTGTGAGTGGTACTACGTGCAACCGCGAACGAAAGCAGAGAAGGCATACGTGATTTGGATCCTGGCCTGGATGACTGCAGAATGGAGTCACCAGCTGTGTAGACAGGGAGACAAAAGGAGGCACCGGTTCGGGTGCCTCAAGTCAGGAGTTCTCCCAGCTATTCAGTGGAAAGACAGCGTGAAGGCAGTCGATGAAAGAGGCTGGAGTCCGGGCTATGACTCAGGCTGGAGATAACATCGGGAGGAGTGGTGTGAGTGTGGAGATGTTGCTTGGAGCCACAAGACTGGATGAGATCACCTAGGGTGTAAGAGTAGGCAGAGGAAAGGTCAAGGATGGAGCCGAGGAGCATGGTTCAGAGGCCGGGAGGAGCAGAAGACCCAGCAAAGCTGTGAAGAAATGAAAGCCACTGGGCATGTGCAGTCCGAGGAGCTAAGTCAGGGAAGCACAGGGCCATCAAATGGAGAATAGAAGCAAGGACTGATGGTGGCCCTGGACCTAGTGACAGGAGGGTCACTTGTGGCCCTCAGAAGAGCAGATATCAAAGTGTCTCTCAGATGTGTTATTTTTAAAAGACTAAAACACCTGGGCAGTGGTGGTACACGCCTTTATTCCCAGCATTTGAGAGGCAGAGGCAGGCGGATCTCTGTGAGTTCGAGGCCAGCCTGGTCTACAGAGCGAGTTCCAGGACAGCCGGGGCTACACAGAGAAACCCTGTCTGGAAGAAAGAAAAAAGAAAAACCACTTAAGCGTAATAGAGTCTGTAGTAGACTGCCTTTGTATTGGGGGGAAATCAAGTAAAGAGGCCAAGGAGACAGCTCCATTGTAAAGTGCTTGCCTCACAAGCATGAGAATCTGAGTCCGACTCCCAGCACCCACATAAAAAGCTAGGTGTGGTGAAACACACATGTAATCCCAGGACTGGGGAGGCAGAGGCAAGTGGCCCCTGGGGCTCGTTGGCCAGCCAGCCTAGCCTAACCTGTGAGCTCTGAGTTGATAAAAGATCCTATCTCAAAGGATTTGGATGGTGTTTCTGGAGATAACTCCCAAGGCTATCCAGTGACCTACACACACACACACACACACACACACACACACACACACACACACACCTACATACATAAAACCATGAACATACACATTAAAAAAAAAGTCAGGGAAACATGAACCCTGCTGCTTTTGTGTGAACAAAAATAGTCTAATTTCTGAAAAGATACATAAGGTGAGAGAAGCCTCATTTTTCACTGCGTATTTATGGGACTATTAAAATATTTTGAAGTTCTGGGAAGATGACTCAATGGATAAAGTGCTTAGCTTGAAGCATGAGGACCTGAGTTCAGATCCCAAACACCCATAAGAGCTGGGTGTGGCAAGGGACATCTGTAACCCCAGCTCTCCCTGGTGAAGACAGGAGCATCCCCTGCATTTAACTGACAGCCAGGCTAGCCAATGGTGAGCTGCAGTTCAGCGATGCGGCTCTACCTCAAAAAGTTAAGATGGAGAATGAGAAAGAAGCTGTCTAGTCAGTGCCTTGGTGGCACACGCCTTTAATTCCAGCACTCGAGGCAGAGGCAGGGGGATCTCTGTGAGTTCGAGGCCAGTTTGGTCTACAGGGTGAATCCCAGGACAGCCAGGATGGTTATACAGAGAAACCCTGTCCTCCCCCCAAAAAAAACAAATAAAATAAAGAGGCCCTCTAACACTGACTCAGGCCTACACACACATACGCACAAATACATAAATAAGTAAAAATAGCCGGGCGGTGGTGACGCACGCCTTTAATCCCAGCACTCAGGAGGCAGAGCCAGGCGGATCTCTGTGAGTTCGAGGTCAGCCTGGGCTACCAAGTGAGTCCCAGGAAAGGCACAAAGCTACACAGAGAAACCCTGTCTCAAAAAAATAAAATAAAAAAAAAGTAAAAATATATATTTTCATCATATATTACTTAATATATGAGGTTGTAGCAGGGGAAACACTTAGCTATTA